ACTTTACATTGACTGTTTGTGGTTGAATGTGGGCGTGTAGAGGGCAGAACCTGAGGCGGGACCTCGTGCACAAACTCTGACGTGCAGCTGTGATTTATAAAGGAAAGATGCACAGAAACGTGCGTACGCATGGTTTTATAAATCTGAATTTTTTTTGGCGTACGCCATTTCCGCCTTTTGGCCGTACGTTCACTTTTAGTATGGTTTCCACGCAATCCTTTATAAATGAGACCCCTGGTTCAGTGATTCATTTACCTCTGCACGTTCTGCAGAAGCCTGTTATTCATCCATTCATGAAAATCAGGTGTGTTTGAGCAGAGAAACAAGGAAAACCTGCAGGATAGAAGCCTTTGAGGACTGCAGTCCCACACCTGTGTCTTTAACCGTGAGCCTTACCCTCCAGGCCGCAGGTCTGTGAGCACTCGGACCAGGCCGACCACCCCGACAGCTGGCAGTTGACGGGACACTCCACGGTGCAGGAGACGTTCATCTGCCAGCTCTTCTCCAGGTTCAGCTGCAGAACACGTCCAACACAAGCAGCCGGGGTTTAATGACATCATGAAATAATTCACATCACCAGCTCCCCGTTGGACTAACACACATCTCTGTTCTGGTTAAGCAGCATCAGCAGCTCAGATACCCAAAGATGACATACGTATTGTAAATAAAGCAGAGGGGGAACAGGTTCTGATGGTTCTGTCAGAACCTGGAGGTTACTCTTGCAGGAGGCTGAGGCGCAGCATGAATGAGTAAAATCCTCAGCCTGAAGCAACGACGTCTGCAGGGGGAAACCCTCGTAAATATTCCACACTGCTGTGGGCCAACTATAAACTATAATGAGCGATGTGATTAAATCACTGAGAGAAAGAGGAAAACGTGGCAAAGAAAGTAAACAAAACCCTGGGGAGGGGGGCTCACCTCCTCGCAGAATTTAATATCCACAGATTTGCCGTCGCTGCGGACGCAGTCGAGCATCCGGGTCTTGATGCCGCCGCCGCACACGGCGTTGGGACTCAGCTGACAGGTGCTCCAGTCTGAGGAGAGGAACCAGAACATGTTCAGACCCTTTTCTCTGGATAAGACAAAGGATGCAGAAGTAGATTGCAAACAAAGTAAAAGCTATAAAAACATATTTGTGAAGAATAAAGCTGGAGATCTCTAATGTTTACTGTTGCTGCAGAAATGCAGGCGTGTGATTACRGAGATCAACGTTCATTCCTGCGCTCTCATCTCACACGAGTCCTCCTAGTGTTTTTATGTGACTCGTGATGATTGTTACGCAGCGGCTTTAAAACAGAAAACATCTATTAACATTCGTCAGGTTGCCGCTGTTGATTTTACCACCCCGAGAGCCAGCAGAGCCGAGCGGCAGGTGGAGAGCGAGTCATGATACACACCCAGATATCATGCTCACAAACCTTTCCCTTTGTGCAGAAATCACTGGAAGTAAAATGAAACAGTCGAGTGTGAACTCTAAGCTTTATTCCAAGTGTTTTAACAGAAGATCTGCGCCGATTGTCAGGTGGTTTCTTTATTTAGATCACCTCTCTGTGACATTTAGATGGGCTGTAGGCAGATCTGTGTGATAATCTGCTGAGGAGTGATGCTTTTAGATGCAAATCAGAACGGAAAGGTTTGAGAAAATAAGTAACTCAAATTCTCGTTAGTTTGGTTGCTAAATGATGCCGAGGCTGTAAAACTGTAAAAACAGACAAAAGTTTTATCTATAAAAACAGAGTGGAGGCTCAAACCGGTGGCTTCCCCCTCAGATTCAGTCAGATCCTGACACATCRGCTCCTGGCAGGATAAAAAGTGACAGGATTGAGTAAAAGCATCCTGTGGGCTCAGGAGGCTCCGTCTGCAGCCACGACTCCAAGCTGCACCCACTTCAAGCTGCAGTATCCACAGTCTGAAGCCTCTGAGGACAGGCCTGCACCAGTTTCTCTGCTAAAAGCTTTCATTTCAAACAGAACTCGGCAGAAGAATCAACAGTTTATTAAGCTCTTAAGTTTCCTAACAGCCTGGAAACCTTCAGCGAGGAGCAGTTTCAACAGTTTTACACAGATCTACACAGACCTGTAAATAAAGCTTTAAAAAGCAGGTTTTAAAACTGACACAGTTTTCTTAACTGTTTTACTTTTTCACAAGTCACCACTTCAGCCTCTGATGCCAACTTGCTCCACGGTACGGAGGAGCATTAGGGGTGGGCTGACTTAGGCTCCCCTCGCAGTGAGGCCACCAGAATGCTTCTCAGTCCTGGACTGAGTCTGAAGTCTGAGTCCAGACGAGTTCTGGTGTGAAGGCTCATTTCAGCCACTTGTGTCTTTCAGTCCTGATCCAAGCCTCGTCACCACAGGTGAGGTCTGGAACATAAAGCCACGCCCTCGTTATTGTGAACGAGGCCCTGAGCCTGAACCAGATCTCACTTCTGAAGACTCTCAGAAACTTCAAACTCCTCCTCTAAACCAGGGGTCTACAAYCTTTACAATCAAGAGACGTTTCTGCTCCTAAAATGTGTCTAGAGACACAAAACATACAACAACTGTAAATGTCAACTGGTGGTTTGTGGGCCACTTCGAGTTTGTTCAATGTGGGCCTTTACAGCCAGTGGCGGCAACATTTTAAAACAAAAATATAAAAAAATATAAAATGCTTATGTTTATTATTATTTTAACACTTTAGGACAACATAAAAGACCATATTTTACACCTAATTTAAAGGGATCCCTGATTAGTCATAACATTAGACTTAATTTGATAAACATATATTTTAACTGTAAAATAAAGACTGTAAAAATACTGTAGGATTTTTAGTTTTGTACATTTTTAAAATATATTTTAACACAGACGGAGCCATTTTATTTACATTTACGTGGATGGGTCCTCGGTGTGAGCGAGCTATATCCACCCTGATGGTTAATCTTAGACAATATCTGATGATCGACTCTTTTAAATGAAACCAGAGAGCGTTGACAGAGAGGAGAAGG